TCTTCACGGCTCGAAAGAATGGAGAACTCTTTTCTGGTGATTAAGCTATGAACCTGCTCAACCATGCTAGGCATCCGGTAAGGATTTGCACTTCCTTCAAGCTCCTTGGTGCCTGCATCTCAATGACTGCCTGCACCTTTTTTGGGTTGACTTCTATGCTCCTCTCCGTCACCAGGTAACCCAAGAATTTTTCTGACCTCACCCCAAACTTACACTTTGTCTGGTTGAGCTTCATGCAGAACTTCCTTAACTTATTGAAGGTGTTGCGCAGGTCTGCTACGTGGTCCTCCGCCTTCCTGCTTTTCACGAGTATGTCATCAACATAAACCTCCATGATTCGGCCTATATTCTCTTTGAACTTCTTGTCCACCAAACGCTGGTAGGTAGCTCCCGCATTCTTTAATCCAAAAGGCATCACAACGTAGCAATAAGTTTGGATGTGACAAAGTTAAATCTTTTTTGGTCCTCCTCGGCCAGGGGGATCTGGTGGTACCCCTGGGAGGCGTCCATCATACTCACAAATTCGCAACCAGCTGTGGAATCGACGAGCTGGTCGATGCGCGGTAAAGGGCAGTTATCTTTAGGGCAAGCAATATTGAGGTCCCTAAAATCTATACACATTCGCCATTCGCCTTCACCCTTGCGCACCATGACTGAATTTGACAACCACTCCGGGAATTGTATCGGTCATATATGCCCAATTCTCAGCAGCTTCTCGACTTCAGCCTCAATCACCGCGTCCAGTTCCACGCCAAAAGGCCTTCTCCTCTGCTTAACGGGCTTCATAGCTGCGTGAATGTTCAGTCTATTCTCCGCCACCTCTGGGCTGATTCCTATGAGGTTGTCCGCCGAAAAAGCGAACACGTCCGCAAATTCCCTCAATAACGCTATCAGCATGTCTCGTACGTCCGCTACCAGATGTCGACCTTCTTGGTAGCTTTTGCGGTTCTACCCTCTATCTATTCGACTTCCATCAGCTCATCCTGGGAACTCATCCCCAGCACTTGTTTCTTTTCCTGGTGGGAGCACCCAGGAAAGTCGTCCCTCTTTTTTTTTTTTGTTTTGTGTTTCGGCAGTTTTTAATGTAACCTCATAACATCGCTGAGATTGCAATTGATCTCTGTCACCTCTTCAACTTCATTCCCCATGGCGAACTTGATTTTCATGCAATAAGTCGACACAACAGCTTGGAATGAATTCAGGCTAGGTCGTCCCAGTATAATGTTGTACGCCGAACTAGCATCCACAATCAAGAAACGGATCATCTTCACCTTCCTAATAGGTGACCTCTGTAACGCCACAGTCAATTAACTTCGCCAATAGGGCGGACCTCGCTGCCACTGAAACCATACAAATCGGTATGGACTGGATCGATCCTCACGTCCAACTCCATTTGCTGTGACCACTTCAAAAAAATAATATCCACCAAGCTCCATGTGTCTATTAGCACCCTCTGCACATCATAGCTAGCCACTTCTGCGGGGATGAGCAAGGCATCATTATGTGGGACCACAAGCCCTTGGACATCCTTAGCTCCGAACCTCAAAGTGGTCGTGCTTGTCTGCACCTGCACCTTGGCCACCTCGACAACTCCTTTCGCCCGATAAGTCCTCTTTCTCTCTCTGTGTGAATCTCCATCTGTAGGTCCTCCGGCGATCATGTAGATTACCCCCTTCTTTAATGGCCTGTAAGGCTGCTCATCAGTTCTTTTCCGTTTTTCGCCTAACTCACCCCCCTCGTGGCGTTCCCTCTTGGCGCTCCTTATCTCTGATCACAAACTCTTTCAAGTGTCCAGCCCTAATGAGCCGCTCAATCTCATCTTTCAACTCTCGGCAGAAATTGGTGGAGTGACCATAATCGTGGTGGTACCGACAGTACCGGTCCTTTCCTGTTGAAAATTTTTGGGGTGGGGGAGAGACTTAGGTTGCTCAAGCAACTTAGTCTCTCTTCGCTTTTCCATCATCTTCAGGGTCTTCTACTGTGATGCATTAAGCGGCTTGTAGTGCTCATACCTCGGACCCCTGAACCGATCCTCAGCTTTTGACTTCTTTTGGGCAGCTCGATGATCACTTTGATGGAGTTTCTCTTCCACATGCTTCGCTTTCGTCTTATCATTCAGGATGAAATCAGCTTCTGCTTCCTCTATATTCACATACTTACTACACCTTTCAGGTAGCTCGTCAAATGACGTTGCCGGCCTCTTCACCAACGAATCCCTGCATTTTCCAAGCCTCAACCCTCGTGTGAGACCCCAGCTTTGATCTTATCTGAGGCAGAGGGTACCTCCACACACTCTTTAGTGTATCGTAGCACATACTGCCATAAGGTCTCCCCCTCCTTTTGTTGCATATTGATTAGCGAGAGATACGTCTTCTCATGCTTCATAGCGCCTGCAAACTGGTTCAAGAACAGAGAACTAAACTTCTCAAAACAATCGATAGACCCTGCCGGTAGCTGGTGGAACCAATCCTGTGCCGACCCCTTCAACGTTGTCAAAAAGCTCTGCAGCTGGCATCGTCGCTATATCTGTGCAGCATGGCTACATTATCAAATGATCTCAAATGCCTAGCTGGGTCTACCCCCCCATCGTAAGACAAACTTAGTTCTCTGAAGTTTCTCGACAAATCCCCTTATAGGATTACCTCCGCGAAAAGATGTCCTCGTGAAAATGTGGGCCTCCTGCCCTGAACTTTAGCTTGCAGCTCGGGCATCTGGGCTGCCAACCTCTCCAAGGTTAACCCATCTGGCAGTGTCGGCATAGCCGAGTGGGAGGTTACCGATCTGGTGTCATCATCCTCACCTCTCTCCTGACGCTGGTGCTACTGCTGAGGCGCAGATGGTTGCGGCGGTGGAGGCTGTCGAAATGATTCATTAGGAGCTCTTCTATCCACATCTTGAGCTATGCCTATCGCCTCCGCAATAATCCTATCCAACCCTGACCTGGTCATCTGAATGACTTGATCTCCCCTTAGTGTTGGAGGAGGATGATTATCCAGGAGGTTCTACCCTTCGACCGCTACCATCTGTCTATCATCCTGATGGCTCGCATGTTGCTCGCCTCCACCCGAGCCCGTGCCGACCTGCTTATCGACCACTCCGTCGGCATGTGTGCCGAGATCCTTATCCTTATTCTTTGGCCACCAAACCCTCCAAGGTTCATCGTCGTGTGGCCTGGAAGCTGCCCTTAAGGTGTCGACAACAACGTTAGTGCCGTGCCAGGTGCTGACAGGTTCTCATTCGGGGTGATAGCTAGTGGTGACCATCCTGGTGGCGGTCTTGTCCCGAACACCCTCTGGGTCCATGACTCATGCATATCCTTCGTCAAGCTCTTCTTGGAGTTATCTCCCGCCATGGTTTCTATCTGTTCCTTCGCTTGTTTTGTGTTGGTGAGAAAAATCAACCTCTTAATATCCCGGTAGAAGACTGAGTATGACCCCACAGACGACGCCAATTTGTTGCGCATATTGTACCTCGACCGGGTTGAACCGGGCCTAGCTGGTTTGAACTGCCTTGATGCCTCCGACAACCTGCAAAACGCCGAGAAGGGTCCTGACAGAAAACACTACAACGCTCAAGTCAACCCAACGTCTAGAAAAAATAATTCGAGAGAGTAAATTCACGCGTGTATGTGTGTTGTGTAAAAAAAATGAACCAGTATCCCGTTTATAGGTGAGGTTATGTATAGGTCGAAGAGTTCGTGCTGGACCAGAAGTCTTTCTGGTATCTACTTCTTGACTAGGTCAAAGATCTCTGAATCTTTTAGACTCATTTACGTTGCAAACCTCTTCCTAACTTATCTGGGGAACTACCCCTTCACCTTGATCCCCTCGGCGGAACCCCTTGACCGAGATGCCGGAGCGCTGCTGTGCCGAGGTGGTCACCTCCACCGCGCTATCAAACCTTTGGTTTGCTGCCGAAGTGCCCATGACAAGCTGGCCCTCTGCCTAGCTCCTATTCATCTAAAAGGTGCCGAAGAGGACACCTCGCCGAGCTCCTCCACGTCGCGGATAATCACGTCGAGCTGCAGTTGAACTCGGCCTATGTCTGCTCCATGAATTACTACTTATGGCCGTATCACCGACCTCTCATTTTCCATGGTGATCACACTTCTAACGTGTTAGTGCACATTTTCACTTGCTCGTTACTGGCCATTTACGTTTGAGAATTCTTTGTTATTAACAACCCCATTGAGCACCGAGTGAGTTTCTCCTTCTATTTAACAATTTAATTTTTGTATTATGGTGTTATTTTGTAATGAGATGCGTAAGTCAGGTACTCTGGTTTATTTTATATGGTTTCAATTTAGATTTGTGTTTAGCATTTACTGTGGCGGTTAATTGGAAAAAGAACTGAAAGTTTCAGTTCGATTTACTATTTTCTTGCGGTCCAATTTGGTGTACAAATTTCATATTTGCGATTTCGTACGTTCGATTCGATTTTGTACCAAACTTTACCGTTACGCACCCTACTTAAAAATGAATCCATGTTTTTATTTGGGTATCAATTATAATAATTTTTTATTATTGTTTTCTATTCCTTATACCCCTTAAAATGTCTTTCATCTGAAGTGGATAAATCCAACGGTTTAGAATACCCCAAATGGATGCAAGGGTCATTCATTTTCCATGATGCAAATCAAAACCAACGTAATCATGAGTATCCTGCTCTCATCGTGCAATAGCACATGCGACATAGGGACCCCTCAGCAAAATTAACTCAAATTACATTATATTTAAAAATTAGCAAAAACAATAAAAATAAAATTACCGTCACCCGTCACTCTCTCAATTCTCAAAAACACACACAGACTAACGTCTCCACAGTCCATCCTAACAGTGTCAGCAAATATTCTAACTTTCTTGCTGAAAAATTTACCCTTAACAGCAAATCACCTCTCTCTCTCTCTCTCTCTCTCACACACACACACACACATATGTATGCGCATTCACCACACGTATAGCACACACGTGCATGTTTGCGTTTGTATATATATACACAGAACGCAATTCGGAGGTTTGAAGATGGAGGACAGAGGAAAATTGCAGTTGGCAGAGGCAGAGGCAGAAGAAGATGAAATAGTGAGATTTCATTTGGAAATTATGAATGGATATCAGGACACTGTTATACCACCGCTCTCCTATTTCGCTCCCGATTTTCCCAATACTCAGATGAACGCCATTTGCAGAAAGAGACAAACTAACAGAGCTTCCAAGCCTCGACCTATGACGCAGCGCAAACGAAGGGAGGAGATGACTCAAAAATACTCTCTCCTTCAGTCCATGCTTCCTACTTCTGATAATGCCGTTAAGGTCAATTCATCGCCACCCCTCTCTCTCTCTCTCTCTCTCTCTCTCTCTCTCGCTCTGAGTGTGTATGCGCGCACGTTTATGGTGTAAATCTTCACAGTAAAATAGGCTGATGGTGATTTGTTTAGTTGATAGAGGCGACAATTGACGTACTGGGTTCGTGATTAAAAAGAAAAATGGAAGATTAAGCATGTTAGATGAAAACTTAATTCTAATGATAGATTTCTGCACGCGATTCTGGTTTGTGGATAATTATTGCATCAGTAGAATAGGAGCTAACAGGAATAAATTGGAGCTGATAGACCAGTCCTTGTACTAACTTTGTTGAATGTCACAATTATATGTTGCATATTGTCTCCTTGATGAGCTACATAACTGATATATAGAAGTGTGTGGATTTTTGTTCGTAAGAGCTAATGGGAATTCTGGTTTCTCGTAAAATATACTTTGGGTGTTCATATAATATGCTCTCGTGTTTGCAGATTTTCAGCTAGGCTTGGTTTGGTTTTCATGTCTAAGGTTTGAGTACAATTGTGTAAGCCCCTGAACTGAAATATGTGTTGATCAGATTTTTTTAGCTCAAGTGTAGGTGCCTAAATCAATGTTAGCTTGCAGGCCAGAATGTGTTTGTGGCAATTCATTTTGACTCTGTGATCTCTTGAGCAGATTATGTTGTCTCAATAATTTCTGTAGGAAATTGTATTTCTGAACTGTTTATGCCTCTAGCAGAAGTTTTATTTGAAAGGACTGAGTTCCATTTTGTTTCTTAATCTAAGAACTGAAAATCAGTTTGTGAAGTTGGTTGCTGTTTTTTCTGTGAATTTGACCAGCTCAAATAAATTTTGCAGCAATCAAATGAGAAGATTATTGGTGATGCAGTGAGCTACATAAAATACCTGGAGAAAGAGAAAAAAAAGCTGGAGGCTCTAAAGAAATCTCAAATGGAAGAGCAAAATATGGCTAAATCATTTTGGAGGAGATGCAGAAATCCTAGTTCCTTAGTGGAAGTAAATGTGCCCAATGGTACCAAGTTCCTTGAGATTCAAATGCCCTTCAGACGTGGTTCGGTGGCCAAGATAGTGGGGGTGCTCGAAAAGCATAAGGCTGAGGTTTTAGAGGCAAGAGTTAATGTTAACGAGCAGCGGGTGTTGACTTTCACAGCCACAATCGTGCTCTCATGTGATGGAGGTACTACAATTGACAGGATAAAGGAGGAAATATCAGATTTATAGACAACACATATGATATTTATAGATTATATATGGGATTTTCAAGACTGTTAGGTTTTTTTTTATTGGTATTGAGTTTCTTGGCGTACATGAGGCTTTTGAGTTATATACTTCAGTATAAATATATTTTTGCCGCTAAAGGTCTGTTAACTGGTAACTTGTTCATGAAAGCCCTCTTTTATTTTGATGGGTTAGCTTCTACTTGCCTTAATGTGTTTGATAAATGTTTAGATGTCCCTGTTCTGCTTACTTTAGCAAATAGTATATCTGTATGCCCCAATAAAGAAAATCAATCAAGCAAGGCCTCTTGCGTTTCACCAGGCTAGATGTTGAACTAAACCTCGTTCGGTTTTTGCTTCCATGTTATTTTCAACTCCTATATTCCAACAACATTGGGAATTACCAAACATAACACAGCAATCATGTACAATGGGTGCGAAATTCTGTAAATCTTTGGTTATCCACAAACTATCTTCAGATTAGTATTCTGCATATGGATCTTTTAGATTTCATGATGATAACTCATTAATTCTCTTTATGTTCTTTCTGGCTTACCAGCAGATTGCATAAACGCATACTTATCTACGTTGCATTGTGAAGTCTCTAATATAACTTCTGCAGCTTGTGCACCACATGAAGCCTCAACAGATGTTAGTAGCTTCATGTATTACCTGCCCTCTTTCATTTTTCATCTTCTCACTTAGTTTCTGCCGTCCAAATTCTCACATCTTCCCATTTCTCTCGATGAAAATCTTCGTTCTCATACCTTGTCACTTCCGAACTGATAATGTCAACATTTCAAACCTCCAATGCCTTGACTGTATCTTTAATCTGATATTAGGCAAGTGTTTACTTTTCCAGTGAATGAGGAAGTTCGACATATTGAAAAGGGCGCCATGCCTTTTAGTATACCTGGTAATGTTGAGGGAGTTCGGCAGGGTTGACAGAGTTCAACTTGATATATGTTTTGAAACACCAGAACTAAGGATTCATCGATGCTCGAAAGGAATATGTATGTTCAAGTTTTAGCCTGAGGATTCTCTGCTAGTTGTTGATAGGAGAATACATGACCATGAGCTCATTGTGGCATGGTTCATGCATTAGAATGCTCAGATTAGTTTGTATTAATTTACACCTACATATGGTAAGACATAGACAAATCTTGTAAATTATGTCATACCTCTGGATATTGATGATTTCCCAATTATTATTAATATCATTATTATTAGAAATTCATTAGCTTGTTGTATATATATCCCTCTACATCTTAATAAAAGGAAGTTGTAGAGGGTACATTTACCTTCTGTTTTTCCTAGGCCATGACCCACACGAAAATGTATATATTTAAATCTTCACAACATATTGCATTTGGTATTATGCCAAGCCCACACAATAGTGGGAAATTTCTCTACAATTGCAAGGACGTTAATGTCCTAATAAACAAATACACATTTCAAATTACTAGAATGCCATTAACTTATTAAAACAGCTATAACACTTCAAAGTTTGGCGTACCACGTGGCTAAGCCACAACTTTCTATATGTTTTGCATGATAATAAGAACATTTTGGGCCTGATAATAAGATCATTTTGAACCATATTATTTAGGCTAAGTTTTTTTTTATTTATTGGATTGAGTATTTACTCTTCCAACTTATTTTTAAATCCTCTACTTTTAGGTAACATGACCCATCACTAACTCTCTCATGCATAGTTTTGGGATTTTTTTTTAATATTTAATATTTTCTATTTGTTTCTAGATATTTCTTTATTGTCTGGACAAATATCCCACCAACCTTAAACGTGAATGGCTTTGGATACGTGGAACCACTTTTCTCTTTTCATACCTAAATTCCTATTTATTTGTTGCCTTTCATCTGCTTCCTATCATCTCATGTCAATTGGTGTATCATAATGTATTTAATTGCAAGTTTGTATCCATTTTGAAAAGGAAAACGTATCGGCTTTAAATGAAAATTGTTTTAAGTAAATGTTTCCCAATGATGAGATGTTATTATAAATTTTTAACAAACTTGGATAAATATCTCTATCCATTACAAAATAAGTTGGAAACCCGTACATGCTGAAAATTGAACTAATTGGCGGCCGCTTGTTGTCAAACTAATTACACAAGCAAAGCAAATAGTTTGTAAATCACTTAATAAGTGTGGCGGTTGTTACGACAAATTGGTCATCACATAAATAATGTTTGACCAATTATGTTTGATTTTGAAAACTAAAAGTTGTGTTTTCACAGTCTTGCGTGGGATCAATTTTTTGTCATATAATTTGTTTATTTTGACAATATTTTTAGGTGCGTTTGTGAACATAAATTCTTTCATGATAGTTTTTTGATGCAACTTTGGATCTATTTTATTTGAAATTTGGGAGTACCATCTTCAAACATAAATACTGTAGTATTATGGGCCGTTTGTGCAGGGCACAACCAAGAGATTCCTAATATTTTTATAAATAGATGGTAGTATAGACAGATGATCCATAGATTGCGTATGTGCGCGTCCCTCATCATCTCACTATTCTCTCTCAATCTTATCCTCGTAAAATCACCGCATATATATATAGTCTCATATGGTTTAGAATGTGTCAATTGATTGATATATAAAGATCTATTAGTACATGGCATCAGAGGTGAATCTATAAAAGAAAATTGGGAGGAGCTAAAGCAGCTATTGGAATCGGATTGCATGTGTTCAACTCATGAAAGTTTGATCTCATATTATTTATCTACTATCTACTACTACCTTAAAAGGACCAATATTTTTGTAAAAATTTGAACAAACAAAATTACATTTACTCTCTTAATTTTTTAATGGTTGTTAAGAGTTCAATTAATGAAAGAGAGCAATATTTCCTTTATTATATAAATTGTGCAATATTTCCTTCATTATATAAATTGTCAGTTATTTCACAAATCGCACATATATATCGATTTTTTCATTTTTAGTTTAGTCATATTTTATATTGGTTAATTAATGGATGCAAATTATTTAATTAATTTTGAATTTGGATGTCGACTTATATTTCACAGTTTACATTTTTTTTCAAATTCTATAGATAATTTTGTTAAATCTCGATAAAAATTTAACTTATATTGATTAATTTTTTCATTAAGGTAATTTTAGTTAAATAATATTATGTTATTATTTAATAAATGTGGAAGATAAAAATTATAAAAGAATAATATTTTGAATTACATGACATATAAGTGCAAGTAATCTGACATATGGATACAAGTATAATAAATAACTAATAATATTAGAACTTTAGCAAATATTTATGTATTTAATAAACTAAAAAATAATTATTGTCAACATTTATATTAGAAAAGTAATTAAACTAATAATATTTTCTTAAAAGTTCATTTGCTTTAGTGTCAACCGAAACACATGCGGATGGAATTTATACTACTAAAAAGTCCAAAAGGCTTGTGAAACTCTCAACTAATACTAACCTATCTACTCGTACAATGCACAAGTTGTAGTACAATAATTAACATAATATAGTATTAAATTTTCATCATAACAATTTGATATTTAACTTATATTACTTTATAAGTTATTAATTACTTCTTCATTTTTAATTTCTTATATTTTTAATGGTTTAACTGTCATTTGGTTAAGACTCCATCTAATGAGAGAGTAATTGTTTCTTGATTATATAAATTGATAGTTCTTTTACATATCTCACATATATGTCCGTTTGTTTTCATTTTATTTTTAGACTTCTTTTCATTTTTAGTTTAGTCAATATTCTATTTTGGTTAATGAATGCAAAATCTTTGATTAATTTTGGATTTGGATGTGAACTTATATTTCCCATGGGATATCCTACAAATAGCTATACTTTTGAACAAGGCTCTAACTTGCTAGTGTCTGCCTTTACTACATGTGTTGAACTACCACTTCTCCGAATGTGACTTAGGTTGGGTTTGCACCCTGTCCAACATTCTAAGAGAGTATAGTAGGCATTTACTTAAATGTTAACAAGTTCAGAATTTACGTCGTTGTTTTCACCGCAGAACCCCAAAACGTATATGGTAGTTCTGAATAACTCATCATTCATCTAACTATTTTGATAAGAGTCTTGTTCCTTCATTCTGCCATACCGTTCTAGTGGGTTGTATTAGTTGCGGTCAACTGGGTTGAATCCTACCCTCCGATAAGTAACTCCAAAATTCTCACGAATATATTCGCCACCTTCATCAGATCAAAGCGACTCGATACATTTACCATGATGCTCTCTACACTAGCCTTGTACTCCTTAAATTTTTCAAAGCACTCAGACTTGCGGTGAATCAATTAAATGTACTCATATCCCGAGTATTGTCAATGAAAGTAACGAACTAATCAAAACCACATTTCTATTAAACCATAATAGAATTCCATAAAACAAAATGAATCAGTTCCAACACGTTTTTGGCCCTCTATCCATTTTCTTTAAAAGCCTTATTTATATTACTCAAGGAACTAATAATATATTCTTTTGTGTGAGAAAACGTCACACTAATATGAATAACGTGACAAAAGACAAATCTAAACATAAATTAAATTGCACAATAATTAACTAAACATGATTCTTTCATTCAAAACGGGAATAAGTTCAAATGAAACAATGCTTTCAGTATACAAACCATCCATCTTGCACTTATATTTGAAATTATTTTTTTCTCTTTCTAAGTATGAGCCTATGTACCTAACCTAGTCATACAAAAAGACTTTGTTGCTCTAAACAACCATACATGTGACTCATATCCATCTCACCTTTTATTAGAATATTTTAGTGGTAGAATATAATATTTCATTTATTTTTGTTTTTAAGTGAGAAGAGAATTAGGAATAACCAGGAAATTCTTCATTTTCAGTAATCAAATTGACACACACACATTACAACAATATTGGTTACAAAAACTCATCCCCTTCATAGCTTTATTCATGCCTAACATTAATTATTAAAGGAAAACGAAAATAGGCATCACATTTGTTTCTTATTCTCCATGCAAATCCTCAACAGCTCCTCAGCCGTTTCGTTGGCCTCGCGCTCGGCATTCTCTTTAATCTTCTCACTCATCCTTTTAGCTCTAACCCGAAACTCGTCCTCCTTCATGACCTTATCGATCGCGTTCGCCAGCTCCTCGCCCGCGTAATTTCTACCTTTACCCTTGGGGACCTCAATCCCCGTCCCGACATCCACCGCCAGCCTGGCATTTGCTGGCTGCTCGGCCTTCATCGGCATTCCTATAATCGGGACGCCAAAGTACATGCTCTCCGTGATCGAGCTCCACCCGCAGTGACTCACGAAGCCTCCCACACTCGGGTGAGCCAGAATCCGAGTCTGTGGGGCCCACTTCCCGGTCACCATTCCTCTATCTTTCACGGCCTCGAGGAACCCTTCCGGAAGCTTCTCTTCTACGTCGGCGATCTTCTCGCTGTGTGGGAGTCTTATGACCCACAAAAAATTCGCTCTGCAAATTTGCAACCCTTTCGCTATCTCGGCTATCTCCGTTTCTGAAAGGAAGTATTCACTCCCGAACGAAATGTATATTGTGGAGCTAGGACCTTTTTCACTTAGCCACTTCATGATATTCGAATGTTTTTGGTCTTTAATGTTGTAGTTATTATGGTCACAAGCCTCTGGAATGTCTGTTATGAGTGGGCCGGTGGGTACTATCCGTTTCTTGCACAAAACGGAAAGGTAATCCATGTATTTCTGTTCCAACGCGCGGCAACTCCTTACCAAAACGATGTCGTGGCTTCGTGCTAAGTTGCCGAATGAAAAATCGTCATCGGCATCTTTTACAAGGACCTTGATTTCCTTCCATATCTTGTGTTCGACAAAGTCGGGTATATGTATTGTTTTGAAAGGGAAAGTGGAGCCCGTCCCCATTGAGTGCACGTGATGTGCGTACGCGAATACTGTTGAGCCGGAAGTTGAGAAATAAACGCTAGGGATTCCGTTCAAAGAGGCGAGCTTCGGGGCCCAGGGTTGGAAGAAGTCATATATCAGAAGATCGGGTTTTATGGAGTTTAGTATTTCGATGAAGCTAGGGCTCGAGGCTTGGAAGGCTTTTAATAGTGCTCTTATGAGATTGGATGGGAGATTCTTGGTTGTGTGGAGCTCGGAGGGTAGCTCGGGAGTTGGTGGGACGTGGAGCTCGACTAGTTTAATTGAGCTCGGAGTTTCAGAATTAGCTCTTATAGAGTTTAGATTGATGAGGGTTGAGCATAAGTAGATAGTGAAGTTTGTTGTTGGGAGTGTTTTGGCAAGTTGGAGAAAGGGAGATATGTGGCCATGAGCTAAATATGGGAACATTAGAATTTTGAACTTTGGTTGTTTTTGGATCTCCATAGCTGTTATAAGATCTCTATGCACAAAGGGAACACTCTCTAAGTTTGAATGTTGATGGGTACTCTATAACTTTGGTTGATGAATGTTTTGAGATTTTTTTTTCCTTTTTTTTATTCAAGTTTATAAAGAGTGACAAATACAAAAATGAGGAGAAGAGCATGTGATGTTTTTGAAGAATTTCTCGGATGGACGAGTAAAATAAGTTTGATAGTCTTAGAATTTCGGAAGCAAATTCAACGATCATTGTTGTCACTTTCGTTTACCAATAAAATATACCAACTTAGACTTTATCAAAACTAGTAAATATTCTGTGCACATGCACAAATATACATAAAATATTATAAGTAATATTTGAGATTTAATATTAAAATTTTAGATAATAAATATATTACATTTTTAAAATTTAATTATTAAGAAAAATAAATTAATGAATGTTTATTATTAGATAATAGCAGTTTGATTATTATTATTATTATTATTATTATTATTATTACAAAATAAAATTATTTATAAGATTCTAAAGTTATTTGACTATGCTATTAAAATAATTTACTAATTGTTTTTAAAGAAATTTTTTCATGAGATACAAAAGAAAAAGATAATATTAATGTTAAAATAAATAACTTAAAACAATTGTTTATAATTATGCAATTTATATTTATTGTGAATTATTATTAGTTGGTATTAGCATTAATTATTATATATTATAATAGAAAAATACATTATTAGACTCAATAAGATGCATTAATGTGAGAAGTAAAAAAATATTAATGATAAATTTTGTAACCAAAAATGGAGGGAAAATTTTAGAGGTTTTATTAAATAGGTTTTATTAAATGCTATTAGCTAGTAATTATATATATAAAGATGGATACAACAAGTATTAAGAATGAAATGGTTAACAAACTAACATATAGCTGAACTCTTAACTAGGACTTTATCAAAATGGATACAACAGGTATTGAGAATTAAATGGAGAATTAAATGGTAACAAATTCTTAATTTAATGAGTTAATCTAATGTAATGGATGTCGAACTCTACCAGACACAAAACAAATTAACCTAAAAAAGATAAAAGATAAGAAAATCGACATGAATCTTTCAATGTCAACAAATCATGCTGAAAGGTGATTAGTGTACAATATTTAGATATTTTACAACTTGTTGTACTCATATTGATGATCTCTATTATCTTTTTAAAAAATAGGCCAATCCAGTGAACCTTTTTAGAAAAATTTGCAGTTTAAAATGTAAGCATATTACACTTTTTGAACCAAAATGTGTGTGTATATTTGGAATTTTTTTTTTTCTTAAATAGGACATTCACCTTAAGAATATACTAACATTGTTGTGTGATAAGCCAACAATTAGTGAACATACTTTTTCAAATTATATAATCCGTTTCCATAATAAAATGTCATATTTACAAAAACAAAAATAATAATCTAAACACAATTATTTCTATAATATATATATACATATTTTTATTGAAAAATCTTGAAGAGTTGCTCCACTTTAGAGCATCTTCAATGTTGAGAATGGATTGTGATAAGGTTCGGTGTAGGTGGCTCCGATTTAGAACGGTCCTCGGTTCAAGGGTGCGTCTTCCTTTCCCGATTTCCGGTCTGAGATGAAGCTCGTGGGTTCCTGCAAAGTACGCCGGATGTTTTCCGGCGTAAAACCCTCCAAAGTTTAAGTCAGTATTTGGGAGATGAGTGGAGAAGATGAACAGTGATAGTATTTTGGTAGTTGAATAATAAATATGACTTAAATGTTTCTTACACTGTTTCTATATATATAGGCGATTATCCTGTGATTGGTTATCTTAAAATATTACATTAATTCATGGTAATTCATGGGGTCGAGGATCAAGCCTAAGGGCTTGATCAGACAAGGTGACCGAGGATCGAGCCTCAAGAGCTCGATCACGCCGCTCGATCGATCCTAGGGGTTGCGACATCTATCTCGAACGGTTCGATCTATGTGTAGCGGTTCGATTTATGTGTACTTATATCCCTATCAACTATTCGCCCCTATTTATGAGTGCACAAATTTACTCTTCGTGGAGTCATAAATACCAAGGGATACGATTTCGATGGATT